CAGCAGGATGAAAGATCCTCTTCTCCTGTAAGTCCTAGTTTGCCTTCTTACCCTTCATGACTCCCTTTTTTTCCTTTCCCACAAAGGGACACCAGGAGCAGGGCACACGGATAAACTTGGGCGACTGAAGGAACTTTGTGAACAGTACAACATGTGGCTCCATGTAGAAGGGTATGAAACTTGAGATTTTTAACTTTATTAATTAAAAAATCAGTGTAATGGATAGCTCACAATGTTATAGCTAACAATCTGGTAGAGCAGTAGTAAATTTGTCACCATACAAGATACAGATTGTTTTACCTATACAGGTAAACTACACTTCAGTAGCTAACTGAAGTGGTTATTTCAGTATAGGTTGTTATTGCTCAGGTAGTAATTTTATCTGTCCTTGCTTTTTGATGTTTCATTGCATGGTGTTTTATTTGCATGCTGTATATTTCTGGTAAAACATTGGAGCTGAGCTATGGGTAGGACTTGTAGGAATGAAGTCCCTGGAGGCTGAACTGATAAATTTTTACATTGAAACTGATTTTTATTTTTGGGTTTTCAATTTCTGAATATTTAATAGCAATTTGACCTGTCTATTAAAAAAAAAAAAAAAAAAAACCTTTCTGTACACAGCAGCATGAAATATATTAACTGAAAATTAAAATGCTAATTAAAATGCTATGTCTTCATAAATATTTAACAAGGTGGTTTTTGTTTTTTAGTGTGAATTTGGCAACTTTGGCTTTGGGTTATGTCTCCTCTTCTGTACTGGTATGTTTTACTATATCTAGAAGCTTTATGCTTCTGAAGCTTTATGCTGTATAGAAGCATAAGCATTAGAAGCTTTATGCTGTATATTTTAATGTCACAATCTAATCAAAATATAAATGATTTCTATTCTGTTTTGTAATGAACTTAAGGCGGCTACAAAATGTGACAGCATGACACTTACCCTGGGCTCCTGGCTGGGGCTCCCAGCTGTACCTGCTGTGACACTCTACAGACATGAGGATCCTTCCTTGGTATGTTTAACTCCTGTTACTCTGAAGATGTGGAGACTGCAGCAGCAGCCATGGCCTAGTGTTTTGTTCTTCATAAGCATCTAAATAATTATTTGCAAAAGAGTCTCTATTTAAATTATGAAGACTTCTGTAACTGGTAAATATTGGAGTGAATGGATGATAACAGTAAAAAGCTGATGATCATGATTCTTTGTCATTTGTTTTCCTTTTTTAGTCCTTAGCAGCTGGGCTGACATCAAGTCAGCCTGTAGAGAAGCTTCGTGCCCTGCCGCTGTGGCTCTCCTTGCAGTACTTGGGCCATGATGGGATTGTGCAGAGGATAAAGCATGCATCACAACTAGTAATTCTTTTTTTTTCCTGTCACTTCTCTTTTTTTTCTATTTTGGTTGAAAGCTGTTCAGAGAGACAATTTCTTATGTTCCTACTCTACTAGGCATTGCACTGATACAGAGTGGTAAATATAAACAGCTGACAAAGGATTTCAAAACAGTTCCTAAATACAGTGACAAATTCTCTATTTTCCATGTTGAGTCCTTGTTCGTTAAAAGTTAAGTGTAATATGCTAGTTTAAAAAAAAAAAAAAATCTCTGGTTACAACCAGTGCATTTTTCCTCTTAAATATATAGCCCTTCTTTAGAAGAATGCCAAAGAGGTTGTTTTGTGGGAAATAAACAGTTTCTGCACTCACTAGGAAAAAAGCTTTTGGCATGAAAGACTTCAGAGTGCGACGAAGCGTCATTAGTCATTAGAATCTCAGGCATCTAAGAATGATCTCTGCTTTTATAATAGTCTATTAATAGTCTTAGGTCACTTTATAAGAATGTCTTTCTAATGAAAATAATTTAGAAAGCTATTATAACTGGTTGCTATGGTAGCTTTGGAAAAAATCAATTGGTTCTGCTACACACAGTGCTTTCCTTAGCTGATAAAGTTTCAGACGTGTTATCTCAATATTTTATGGGGATTTTATTTTAACAAAAAGCACTTTGTAGCCTGTGTTTTACTAAAAATATTAACTATTTCTCCATTATAAGAACTGGGTGAATCACTGACATTTCATAGGGAACTGGTAACATATTGAAATGATAGTGGTAACTAATGTTTATAAATGTAACTTTCAACTTCTAAAACTATATTTTTTATCTCTGTTTTCCCTTCACCCTTCTGCTGTGATCTTTTAGAGCCAAAGGTTGCTGGAAAACTTGAAAAACCTGGATTTCATTAAAACTTCGGTACAGTTTGCATTTAATACCTTGGTTGTACAGCTGAGTCTTGGCTATTAAATGATAATGACATAGATGCATAAGAAATTTTTGAGGAATATTATCTAAAATGTAGTCATTGTTGTGAAGATACTTGATAGCTTCTTAGTTAATTTATTTCAAGCATTCACTGGGATTTTGCAACGTGTTAGTGCTAGTGTGTAGCACCTGTTGGCCTCTGCTTTGTACTTGTTCCACTGCTGCATGCTCTTCTACTCAGTCAATTTAACAGAAAAAAAATTCCAGAAATTGTTTCCAGTGGTTGATTTCTTTTAAAACATTGGTTTGTTCAGTAATATGATTATGAAACTAATTTTCATAAATCTTACTAATATTTTCTGACCGCCTCTTGCCCTGTTGTTGAGATGATACTGTGAAGTCCATGGAATCGATACACAAAATACTTAATCCCGGTTGAGGTTTTTTTAACAGAAGTAATGTTTTAGAAATTGCATCTTATAGATTCATTTCTAATGCATTTTTCCTTGGAGGTTTGGATTACTGTAGCACTTCCCCCTCTTACCTAGCTAAAAAAAAATGGTGTAATTTGCAGGATTGTGAAACTTTTAAAACTGAAATAATGTAAACATTGTTATTGCTTTCTAAACAAAATGATATGCTTTGCTCAGCAATCTGAAAGTGTATATTCACTGTTAAATCTTTATGTAAGTTTTTTCACAGCCTCTTATTTATTTATTTATTTTTAAGGTTGAAGATGAACTGAGTTCTCCTGTGGTTGTATTCAAGTTCTTCCAGGAATATGCAAATAGAGGTATGTAATTTATTAAAGGGAAAAAGAAAAATGTCTGCCTTCTTTTGAAACTATTAATTTCCAAAATTAATTTGATTTGATAGATGCTATGCAGTATACATTTCTTGCATAACATGCCTTTTAAAAAGGTTGTAAATACAGGTCATGATTTAGTATGATAGAATTCATATGTATGATAACTACTTTTTTTAGATAAGCTGCAGTTTTTTTAAATTTTCATAGCAAATCATTTTCTGCCTCCTTGAGTGGAGAGTTTTGATCTTGGGAGAGGCTGATGAAAGGCTGCCATATGCAGCAAGCTGTGTTTGAGGGCACTGATGACGGAAGATTTTTCCTTGATTTTACTCAGGCTTTCTGTTTCTTTTGATATGTTAGTGGGTAGGTGCAAAAGCTGTATTTTATTGTTTACTGTTGCAATAGCTTTAAAAAATAGGAGAGCACAATAGGAACAGCTCTGTAAAACATGCCTAGCACAGGCAGCTCTGGGGGGTGGTCTGGGAAGGCAGCTTTATCCTGTGGGCTACCAGAGTGCGACATCTTCGGCGTAGGGGTCCATCCCAAGCGTGGGGAAATACCCGCTCGGATGGGGCAGGGGGCCTCCAGGAAAATCGTGAAGTTTCATAGTATGAATTGATTTTAATTGTCTTTAGATTTTCTAAATCACAACCACTTTTTTTAGTGGTTGACATAAAAGGTAGAATTCTATTAGTTATGCTGTAGCTCTTAAAAAAAAATCTTTAAATATAGTGGGCTTATAATCCTAAATTATTTTTGTTTATTTAAAAACAGAAAGCAATAACTAAAGCTTAATGTAGCTCAACACGTCATTAAATATTGCAGTTTGCTATTTCAGGATGTGAAAAAAAACTGTTTCTTGGGGGTATTTGAATTTCAAAATTTTGAGAAGTATTTGTTGGTTGTTTTTAAAATTAATATGTCCAATTCTTTGTTTTACACTTCATATTTGCCATGTTCATCTTACCTTAAAAAAAAAATCCCACAGATTAGACAGTTTAGGTGTGTTACCTTATCTAGGAGATTTAATTGTCTTTTATATGGCTTGCCTTTTGTTTACTTAATTAAATAAAAACACAGTTCTGCGATTCTTTTATCTCTGGATTCAGATCAGACCCCACATGCTGCACCGACCTCGGCAATTCAGCAGCCCGTAATAAGGAACGAGAGACATGTTTATGACACTTTCAATCAGTGGGTAAGAATGGATGGAGAGTTAAATGTTTCTAGGGGGTTATCAGTGATTGTAAAACTTTACTCAGTAAATTGGCTTGGTAGTTACTTTTGATGTATTATCCTTTGAAAAAACTGATGTGTATTTTGGATTTTAAAAAATACTAATTCATTCTGCATTACAGTTAGCTTCATATTTCTGATTATATTACAAGTAAAAATTGATTATTACAGAATCTTGAACTTTTGATATTGAAAATTTGGGGGTGGAAGAATTTTGTGTGTCTGTCTGGAAACTTTTAAGTCTCTTAAGTCAACTTGGTATCTCACTGACAGTGTCTGTGCATTCATGAAGAGACTTTCTCTTCCAGGTTATAACAGCATAAACTTTAGAAACATTTAGAAGCATTTTCAAAGAACTGAGCGCAGAACTGTTATGGTTTATTTGCTCAGTAATTGTGGTGTACTTCATGTGATGACAGCGTTGAAAGAACTTCTGATTTGTGACACTCATAGCTTAGTTAAAATTGTGAAAACTTCAGTTAAATATCCAACTTTGTTTTATCACCAGCAAGCTAATGTACTCTCGCTGCAAGAAATAATTCTAGAATTTTGAGAAGTTCAGGTAAAACTGAACTGGCCCGTGGTTCATTTGAACTGTGGGAACAGCCTAACCTGAGGCAGTGACTGCAGGAGGCTTCTGCTCTTGGCGTTTCGTTAACTGCCCTGATCCCTCCAGCTAGGAGAGCAGCTGGCGCAGCTGGTTCCTGCCAGTGGGGTCGATGTGGTGGAACTGGAAGATGAGGGCACGTGTGTGCGTTTCAGCCCGTTGATGACTTCTGCAGGTAACATTCACAATTCAGCCACTTGTAAAGATGGAATTTGTTATGAGAGTGCACAACACTCTACTGATTATAAAAGTAGATATGCTCAAGAAAGGCTTTACTATGTTCTCCCATAGTGGGGATTTTTCATGTCTTGGATTTAAATTGTTTTAAATAAACCTCTCGGCTTCGGCATTCTGCTATGCTGTTGCAGCTCAGCTGTTCTGCCTGACGTTGCCTCACTGCATCTGCAGAGGCAGATTTGGACTGATTGTTTTTAAATTCATTAGGAAAAGCAAGGGGAGGAGCTCCGTTTTCTTACAGTAATGAAAAGAATACCAGGGATGAGTCACCCTGCAGTTACTCCTCTCATGCTTAATACAAGAAGGTACTTAACCTTTCCTACATGGGTGTTTGGACACTGGAATGGAGCTGGTGTTCAAATATAATTACCTAGAGTTATTTATGAAAGCTCTCTTTTTTAAAAAAAAAAAACTATTTATGTAGTGGAAAAAAACTATTTTCTGGAAAGTGTCTTAAACTCAGAGTTTAAGCTAGCACCATATACGTAGTTTGTGTAGATTCAGCCAATGCACAGAGGAGCTCGCTGGGGCCCTGCTTGAGTGTGATGTCTCCTTTTAGCTGCCCTAACTCTTGGGTGGGGGAAGAGCTTAAGCTATCAAAATACCTCGATGCTGGTGTGAGAGAATTCTGATGTATATAGAAAATTAAATCTTAAAGTAATATTATTTGGTGATGCTCTCTATTCTTGAACAGAATAGCAATTAATTCTTTATCTCTCTGGCTATGGGATGAGAATTTTTTCTGACACTAGCTGTTGACACAACAAACAAGGGTATAGTCACTGTTAGTTTGTAACATAAAAATTCTTCTTTTTCCTGGCTTCTTTTTTGGAAGTCTTTAGCTATTTTGATGTATCGGTGGATAGCTTACTGAAGAAAAGACTCATAGATAGATCAAGATAATTCATAGTACTTGTAAATTATATTAACATTAGCTTGTTAAGAGGTTTCTTAACAATTAAACATGTGAAATAAATATAAGTAATCTTTATGTCCATTCAGGCTTACCACCTACTAACCCATCAGCTCTTCAGTTTTAGGAACTGAGATACAAGATGTTGATCAGTTAGTAGACTGCTTAAAAATGAAGATATCGGTACTGACAAGTACACTGCAACTGAGAGAAGAATTCAAGCAAGAAGTGAAGAGAACAGTAGGCCTGGTGTACGTCGAGGATCTCAGCTGGCCAGGATTGGGTGTCGTAAGGTAAAGAGCATCAACCAAAAGGAATGTGTGATCTCTTGAGTAGTGATCTTGATGTACTGTTTGCTGGTTAATATCTCTGTCTGCACTCAACTGAAGCTTTTGAGTGTTATTAAAGACGAAAAATAGTATTCTTAAATAAACAGAGTAAACAATGTAAAAAAATGGAGAGCTGCTTTTGCAATATTAGGACAACAATTCTAGTACTGGAAGCAGCCTGTGGATCTCTTAAATGGTACTGTAAAGGGCATGCAGATCCTACATTATATAGCCAAACATTGCATGCATTTTTATCTTCAACGCAATTTATTCATTTGCCAAGAAAGTCAAGTCTTTATTCTGATCATTTATATAGTCCGTTGGAATGGCTGCTCTAGTCTCAAAACAGTTGGTATATAAGTAATATGTTACATTTAAAAAAATCGATTCTATTCAGTCACATTTGCAGCAGGA